AATCAATCGGTTACCCAAATGAAATGATATATCAAATTGATAAAATTGAAAGCAAAGAATGAAGTATATTTTAACACTTCTTAAAATTGCATGATTCATTTCACATTTGATACTTTCAATTTACTTGTATTGCTGCTAATTTGTTGGATAAATTTCTATTAATTATAAATAAATATATCTGATTATCAGAATGGATAAATGCATGAACAATAAATGAGATGAAGCAATTTGTAGGACAATAGTCATTATTATGATTATAATAATTACTCCATCCCAAGACTTGATCCATCTATTTAGATGAGCGCAGCTAGGCTCTTAGGCTAATATTGCCATTCATACCTCTGTTACTTTGAGCAATTACGTATGATGGCTAGCATGTCTATCTTAAAAAAACTTACTTGTACTTACTAAATAATTCATTATTTAAGAGAAATAATTGCAATTCCTGATTCTGATCATGTGAGAATTTTCAGTTTTTAACGGGTTACGATTTTCACAATGGGGTTAAAGCATCAAATGCTATGAAATAATCTCATCAAAATGTAAAAAATGAGAGGAAGGAAAGAAGAAATTTTTTTTTTTCCCCCGCTCCCCTGATATATCATTAATGATAAAAAAAAGAATATCATTAGTGATAAATATTTGATTGATAGGAGATCGCTTATGTACTAAAAAGAATAAATAGAGTGGAAAAATTGCTCTTACATTCATGATAAACTTCAATTATAGAATTAATAAGGCCAAGGCCTAATTTTTTTTTTTAATTTTTAATACTATCTTTCTTAATGTCACCCATTTTGTCAATTTCAATTCCAAAAAAAAAAGGAAACCCTCATGTTACGATAAATTAGGTCATACAGTACGAATAACAATAAAGATGCATCGAGAGATGAATAGGTAGATTATAATGGACTAAACAAATGATGGGCTAAATTTAAGGAAAGATATGACTGAGAGAAAATATTAGTTAGACAATTTCCGTAAGAATCGGTCAGAAAAAGAATGAACCGTAAATCAATATAACCGGAAAAGATGGTTTTTCATAAGAAAGAAGCAAACAGAAAAGAGGATAAATCGCATCAACAAAACCGAAAAAGAACAGCTTTTAATAGTGACAGTTGCAGAATAAATTACTGCAAATAATAATAATAATAATAATAATAATAGTGATAATAATAATAATAATAATGATAATAATAATAATAATAATTATTATTATTATTATTATTCCGGATGATCTTATTATGTATAAATAAGTTGAACTTAAACCGAAATGAATTAATCTGAGGAGAGAAAATGAAGTGAAATTTAAATTTGGATGAAATATTGGAATGAAGTAATTAAATCAAGTTAGCTATTTATATTCTATTC